GGGAGTGGGTTCATCCCAGTTCCTGTAGTGTTAAGAACACTAAAAGTTCAGTGATACCCATTAATCACATGCTTAACCATCACTGGCAGTGTCCTCAGTAATGTTGAAGGAATTTACACAGTTGTTCAGAGTGGGAGTGGAAGAGCGGAATTAGTTGGATTGCGTCTCCCATGTGAAATATGATTCTTTTTGTGTGGTTGTGTCACACTGACTTACTCTGGCTCTCCCCGCAGAAAAACGGGCAAGGGAAGGACTGCGTGTTCACGGAGATCGTGCTGGAGAACAACTACACGGCGCTGCAGAACGCCAAGTACGAGGGCTGGTACATGGCCTTCACGCGCAAGGGCCGGCCCAGGAAGGGCTCGAAAACGCGCCAGCACCAGCGGGAAGTGCACTTCATGAAACGCCTGCCCAAGGGCCACCAGGCCTCCGAGCAGCATAGACCCTTTGAGTTCATCAACTACCCTTTCAACAGAAGGACTAAGCGCACCCGCTACACCGGAGAGCGATAAAAGGCCAAGAGAAAATCAACCCCAGCCAACGGAAAAAACGAGCAGTGGACTCCTCCTTACAGACTTCTTATGATATTTTGTACCGCAAAATTAATATACCACCTAGTTGTCTATAATTTTTCAGAAAAGGAAATGGAGAAAGAATTAAATAATCTATTTTTGTACTCACTTTTTTTAAAATGGACTTGTGAAAACAGAGCGAAGCACGATATTCATCAAGGACGTGTGTGTTGAGTCTCAGTTATGTTTCATAAATTTTGTTTTCTTCAAAGCAAAACTTTGATGGTTTAGACGAGTTGCTGCATCACACCTGCTGCTCATGGAGTTTTGGGGAACCTGGCAGAGAGCACTGAAGACAGATGGCGCCGTTTTATTTTTGTACAGAAGTTTGGCAGATTCTAATAGATGGACCGGGTGCCAAGGCCAAGTTGCTAAGAAGCTGCTTTCCATGTTGTGAAGCATCTCTTTGGGGGAATCTCAGTGACCTCAGTGGATTCTGGTTTAGTCTTTTCATTTTCCAAATACAAGCACAACTATAAAAGCTGTCTGCAGCATGAAATTAACTTATTTGTTCTGTAAACAGCATTACAAAAGTAAAGGCATCTTAGACAACCGTTTTAAACATTTAAAACGCTATTCAAAAAATGGCAGCTACCTTTTGATAATCTTGGACTTCCTACCATTGGCTTAACATTGTCTGTAAATTTGAGGTTTTAAAACACTGTTTTCCCAGGTTGGAGTGTAGGAAGTCCTTTGGTTCTGTTGTTTTTATTTTGTTTTTTTTATATATATAAACCTTTTATTGGAGGATTTGTGTAAAAAATAATTTTAATGATGGAAATATTTATTTAAAAATGTGTATTAAATTTGCATTAGAATAACAAAAATAAGAAATTGACTCTTCATTTTGTCATTTTGTGTGTAGTGTGAAACTCACCATTCAGTCACATGAAATTTGGAGTGAAGTGGAGATAAAACACACGAATACTTCATACCTGCTTTATTTTAAAATATTTGTTTTTAAGTTTTCAGTTTTTGCCTGCTAAACAGGTGTTAATATGTATCATAGGACTGACACTGAGAAGTCAGGCCTTTTCTGGTTGCTTATCTGATTCGTATTCACTGAGTTGGCTGACATTTTTATCTGAAGTGACATGCATTTTTACTCATTTATATAGTAGGGTATTTCACTAAAACGATGAGTGAAATATCTTGTTCAAGGGTACAACAAGATGGACAACATTTCTTACATAAGTACCGAAAACCCTCCAGGTATAAGTCTAGAGCTCTAAAAACCACTGCGCACTGCAAGTACCTTCTCATACCTTAAAGCAAGTAGTACAAAATTGATCAGTAGGATGTTCCAATAATTTGCAAATTATTATGTATAAAAGCAACTGGTCTATGTTCTTCGCCAACACAGCTTAGTTAGACTGTAATACAGATGGCTTAGTTTCATTTTATTGTTTGTATAGATCTAGGAATACATGCTCTTCTCTTTGTTTACTGCCTTGTATGTAAACTTTATAACATAGGTCGCAAAGCACACATTAAAACAGTGCAGCAAGAAAGCAAATA